TTTTTTGACAACAAGTATGCAACATACCGGTATATGTGCTATCTAATGGTTTTGTAACCCCTAATTATATTTCAAAAAGTTCAATCAGGTCGATATTTCAAAAATTTAATCAAACCTAATTATTGAAAAGTTGACGAGTGTTTACGGTATGGTATATAAAGGGTTACATGTAAATGTTGGATCTCGTGTAAACAAACAATGTATTGTGCATATATTGCTTATATATAATGTATGGGACTCATATTGAACACAATTCAACAATTAACATCAATATTTACCTTCCATTTGCAATCTAAACAGCATAGAACAGGCATCAACAATATCCAACAATGCACCTGAATGAACACGCTTTCCAATCTGTTGGTAAAAAAATTGCCAAAGATTGACCCATTTATTTGTAGATAGAAGTAAACATGTAGTTATTAGTTTGTTCTCTGCATATAATACTACCTTATTAGGCGCTATATTTTTTCAAACACAAATTTTGGTGCAACGCTTTGCTTTATTTTAAATTACATTTCTATAATATTTTTGGAACAAATGGACATAATTTCCTATTGAAGACAGGACTTGATCAAAAATTTGAAAAAAATCTCAGGGCTGGATGTGGCGGATTCACTGGACTTTCATTTTAGTAGAGATGTGTGGAGGAAAGTCATTATATGCATTTTATAGCAAGTTATAATTTAGTACTACCCCCCCCCCATAAAATAAATACCTGTATTTGTATGTTTTACCTTTGATAAACTGTGAAACATGGAGCATTGTGGGGCTTAGATTTAGGGGGAATTACATGCATGCTTGAATATGCTGTCAAAATAATAAAACTTGGAGGGCCTTAAAATTCAAAAATAAAATCACCACCATTTAATCATTCTAAATTAGATCACCAAAAAAATGTACATACATGTGAAACAATGTGTGATGTATGTACAAAATTTGAACATAATCGTGTTAGACGTGTCAAAAGATAAAAATCTGTGCCAATTTATTGATTTTGTTCAAATAGTATTTTATAATAACAAAGAGGTTATAAGTAATTATTTATAAAATTAATGAATTTCTTCTTTCTCAGTTAAAATTAATGTATTAAATCTTACGATTCTTTATTGAATATGACATGCGTTATATTAACGTTCCAAAATAATGCAATAATTTCTCAAAAGATTTCAGCAGGAATATACAATGTTGATATTGTAACCACCATACCTTGCCTCTCCATGATCATTATGGGGAAGATGGTTTTATTTTGTGAAACATTTACTTTGAAGAGTTAATAGTTTTCTAACCTCAGAATCGTATATGTCCAAAGCTTTAGTATACTCTCCCTGAAAAATATAAATCGTTTTCAATTAATAATATTTGACACTTTCAAAGATGTACTAATGTCAACAAATAATAAATAAAATGATAGATAATAAAATGGAAATTATAATTACAACAACTAATTAATAGACAATAATATTATAATAAAACAAAAATTTCAATATTGTCATTTTGTAAAAGTATACAAATACAATAACACAACAATTATTATTTCAACAAAAAATAGAAATATTTTTAATATGTTTCAATCATAAAGCTAATAAATGATAGAAACATTGAATTTCTAAATATACAAATATTTATTTATATCAATAATAATTAATTATAATTACTTAATTATAAGTTACCTTTTCAATATAATACACTGCCCAGTGCCAAAAGTTGTGACATGCCAGCATCCCACATTTCTATGAAGAAATAGACAACATTTCAATTCAAGATTAATTAATAGTTCCTGTGGCACTGACTTTACACACTGATGCTAAGAATTAGGTTATTTTGTATAGTAGAGTATTTATTGTCATTTGTATGTCGTCATATAGACAGGTCAGAATTAATTTATAGTTAAATGACATGTATGTCTGCATTAATTTTACTATATACTTCATTTTCAAGCACAGTTAAAATTCAAAACTGACTTGAAAATAGAAAGGTGTATGGGCACAAACTGGCATACTGTAACATGTGAAGAAGTCAGTGAACTGGAAGTCAGGAAACATTTCCCAATATGGAGGACTAGAGCATGTATAATTTCAATTTCTTTTTCAAAGTAGAAACGACTAAACTGATAATATGTGCTAGAATCACTGTACATGAATCACAGTGTTATGTACCAGAAGAATCTGCAACCAAAAAGCATTAAGCAAGGGTGTAATACAAGTCCTGTCACACAGTGAAATGAAATGATTCGCATTCTAATATTCGGAATGTTCATATGAGCATTAATTCTGTAGATTGTCTGAATAATTTAACATATATTATCACTCAAAAAAAATAAAGAAAAATGACTGGATGATATTTTACTATTCCTTACTGTCCAGTCTTGCACAGTTGAGCCCATGAATGAGATGCCTTCGTCTTGACGCCCCATCATTTCAAAGACATGAGCCATAGAATGTGTTGACCATCCATCATTTTTGTTCAAGTTAAGGCCCTGAAATTACCATAATATAATATAATAAGTTTTAACACAATGTGACAAGACATCTTTGGATATGGGTGTCACTCGCGTTGTACACACTGTGTTTAAAATACATGTACATCACTTAAAAATACACGCAATTAGAATGCACTGTGCACCGATTGCGAGCATACAACTACGGTACTTCAGCTATTTCATATAATATGTTATAGTTGCAATATGAATGAGACTGTGCAATGTTGTAGTATGGCGTCGTATTCCTGCCAAAATTAGAATATGCCATTTAATGGTATTCTATGCCATTTGACGCCACAACATGCCATTCTACGATGAAAGATTTGAGTATTTATATTGCAATTCCACAATGCGAGATTCGAGTATTTGTATTGCAATTTCACAATGCGAGATTCGAGTATTTGTATTGCAATTCTACAATGCGTTATGCCATTCCACAATGCGAGATTCTAGTATTCGTATTGCAATTTTACAATGCGAGATTCGAGTATTTGTATTGCAATTTCACAATGCGTTATGCCATTCCACAATGCGAGATTCGAGTATTTGTATTGCAATTTCACAATGCGTCATGCCATTCCACAATGCTCCGTGCATTTGACGCCAAAACATGCCATTTGATGCCTCGAAGTGCCATTCCACTATGCGAAATGCCATTTGAAGGGACCTCATTCGATGCCTTCGCAATCTGCGTCCTGCTATTTGAAGCACGCTCATTTCACGCCTTCGCAGTGTGCGTCACACCATTAATAATAATAATAATAATAATAATAATAATAATAATAATAATAATAATAATAATAGCTTTATTGCATCCTTAGAAATACAATGTTTCTATCAGTTAATAGCAATAAAGATTAGTTGTGATAACTACTACTACAAAAAAAAAGTTAATTGTTGTTAAAAAAAAAAAAAAAAAAGATAAAGCAAGTGTTACATATCAAATGGCATTTTTATTTCTTGATTGAAATGCATTATGAATATAGTTGCCAATCTTTTTTATTATTACATCATCTTTTGAAGTCATCAAGAAATTAAATTTCTGGAGATCATCCTGGGTTTCTTGTGGAAATATAATGTCTTGTATGATTTGTTGGCGTATTACTTTATATTGTGGACATTTCATAAGAAAGTGCAGTTCATCTTCTATTTCATTCTGTGAACATTGTTTGCAAATTCTATTTGAAGGTACCCCCATTTGAAGGCTTCGCATTCGACGTCACCTATTTGAAGGAAGCTCATTCGTCGAATGCACCCTCTATCGACAAATTTCGAAAATGTTAAGTAAAATGGCGCAGAACTTCCAGAACAAGGGAAGTTCGTTAGGTGCAGGGCAATCGTCCTTTGATCGCGCAAGACGTTACCTATCAATTGCAGGTCAGCTTATACGACATAGTGATGGGGAAGCAACACCACTATCAACAGAGAATGATTTGGAAGTCGAAAGTGCAACTTCGACCCGCGTGCCAAATTCAGCATGCAGTTCCGGCGCGAATGTTGTCACGCCCAGAGAAGCGCGCACAACAACCCCGTCGCCGGCCTCTCGCAGAGGTTCATCTGACAGCGAATTAAAAGCTTTATTTGGTAGAAACAGGAACCAGACGTCGAAGGGACGGTGTTGAGGGACGGTGGTCGAAGACACAGTTCAGAAAGAGGCAAAACAAAATCATCTAATTTTATTATTCCAGTGCCAACGACGTGGACTCACAAATTCTGTGTTTTGGCAAAGCAGGGTCAAACACAATTTGCCACCAAGTGCAGAAAAAGATAACCTAAGAAGAGCCGGGCTGGGTGATAAAAAGGTCATCTTCCAGAACATAAATGGTGACTTTTAAACATCTACGTGAAACCCTCTTCGACGTGTATCCAAAATTAAGGGATGCAGGGGGATTTACAATTTGTCGTGCTGCCAATACAGGTAACAGCGCAAAACCAATGATGCCGATCGAAATGTTACCCAAGGGTTACACCATACCGTATTTACTGTCCTTTGCGTCAAGCTATCGCATATGTGGTACCACTACATAGAGATCTAGACTTAACGTCAATCCAAGAAAATGAGAAGGTAGCTATATTCATATTATATCTTTCATGTTTTTATGTTTGAAAACTGGGAGGGTGAAGATTTTTTTTTCAAGCATCATAGTAGATACTATATACTATATTGTTAAAGTGTCTAGCCAACTATGAATGATTGTTCGTCCAGTGATCAAATCGTTAGCCCTTAGTAATTCCTTACTAGTATATGCTAGTCTTCAAATATGATTGTTCCTTGTGAGGCAATATTTATTACATTTGAGTATTTATGTGTGTGCATGGTGTGATCATTTACTGAAAACCTAGGAAAATTGTAACAATTATTGAAAATCAGTTTTATTTTTTATTTCAAAATAAACACAAAATTAAAATATATTTTTGAATGAAGAATTCTGTCTCTTATCCCACTCAAAACCTTCATCTTCTAAATATTGTTTGAAAGTCCTTATATAGAGGACCACATTTGAACATACTAGCTCGTCATTTGTTTACATAAGCATTATATGACAAATTTATTATTCACCTTGTCAAAATGATTAAACCTGTCATTCTCTGAAAGCATGTTAAATTAATGCAATGTCCTTTATTACTTTTATCAAATAACACGATATGTACACAGGGAGTAGTATTACTGGGTAGTTGGATCGTGGCTCATTTCCTTTCCCCACAAATGCGGCAAAACATATGCAGGTTATTTCTATGTTTAATCTCCATGTTTCTCTATTTATTCAAAAAATGAGAATATAGATAATTAAAATTTATGCTCCATTAAACTACAAGCATCCTACAGAATATTTAAATGCCTTCATTTGTTTAGTTGTGTGAGCATATCATACAAAGCGTTCACAAAAAGGAACATTGTCAAAGCCAACACCGCCACTTGACCTTTATAAAAACCGAAAATTTCACTAATTCTTGGAAAAATCAAAATAATAAATACTACTATAAATTTGCTCATTATGTATTCACAATATTAAAAATAGGAAATATTAAAAAAGATGTAACTCATCCAAAAATTGGCCGATTTGAAGGGAACAACGGCAATCAAAAGGTCAAAACACACATTTTATTTCCGATTAGAATAGTAAGTTAGATCTGAAAGTATGCCCCTGTGTGTTCGACACTAGACTAATTTTTCTAATATTACAACAAAATACTTGTAAATGAATGTTACAGTTTATTAACCAGTTCTACTGCAGAGCATATAATAATCATGCTGTTAAGAGAATAATTTAAAACAAATTGGTGCAAATTTTGGGAAAATCATGTGTTGCCAGTAATATGTTTATAGTATCCATTGTTATGTAAATATACCAATCAATGGATAATCCACTATCAAACATTACCAGTACTATTAAACAGCAGACTGTTTACAGATAAGCTGTAGTTCAAGTGCATCTGATTAGACACAATAAACAATCAAATATATACTTCATCTAAGACAAACATTATGTAAAAACTTAGTGCTCAGTGCTTACTAAGGGATTTCAGATTTTTTACTAAACTTTGATAAGTTTGGATTTTTGGTTCTGAATTGTAAAAATAAAAAAAAGAATTCTCATTACCTAAAAATACAGCAGGGATATATTGAATGTTCAAAAGTGTGATGCACATCATATTTGTCATTTTGTCTAGTATGCTGGTGACATTTAAATTAACATATCTGTTATATCTCTGTTGGACATAATATGACAAATTATTCAATCCTAATTTCACAAAACCTACATGGAGAAGTGGCTACAGTTGACTGTATCTATTGTCATGAAAATATTATAATTGCCAATATTACTGATCACCAGGAAGTCTGTAATTCCATGCCTATTAATATCGGTCCAGAAGATATTGTTCAGGATAATTCAGCATGTGCCAGCGATGTCACAGTTATTTCTGATGTGCATGATGATACCAAGCAGTCGGAGGTATTTATTGTTCTCATATTTATTCCTAATTCAATATGACACTTTGGGATGCTTGATTGCAAGTAGCAGATCTGTATCATACTTGTATCAACTGAGTTGAAACTAAGCTGTTTGGCATTTATATCCCTCCCCTTGAGATGTCACCTTAACATCTGATTCCTAAACATTTTTCAGATACAGGAAAAAGCTGACACATTGATAGAAATCTTAAAGGATAAATCAAGGGAAGATGTTCTTTCTAAATTGGTAGAATACAATGGAGATGCTGATATGGTATTCTATGCTTTATCATCCGTTAATGGTAAGATTAATTTTCATTCCACTGTCAATTTTTGTCATCTTTTGGAAAAAATAATTCATTCAGTATGCTTGTCTTCGCAGTCCGAAAACGGGAACTTATGTTTTGACCTTTGTGCTTCCGTGCTTCTGTGCGTCTGTACTTGTATCTTACAAATGCCTGGACCAATCACAATCAAACTTCACACATACTTCATACATGATATATACATATGCACATCAATTTGTTTCACGATCTGATTCAAGATGGCCGAATGGTGGCCATTTTTGTGCTAAAAAATCTTTAAAATCAAGCATTTATGGATGGATTTTGTTTGAACTTGGTGCATACGTCGGACATTGTGGGACCTTGATGCACTGGCGACCATTTTGTTTTAGTGAATGCAGTTCTAGTGCCAATATCTCTCCCATGCTTTGACTGATTATGTTCAAATTTT